GGGGGAGCGGAGGTTGAAGGGGCGCAAGACGAGAAGACGGTCTACGGTCTCTGGGGCAGATGGACCGGAGATCCATTGGGTTCTAGGGATGCCGATTGTAGATCTTCAAAGGGACATGTCGGTATACAGGCACTCATAACTGTACACTGCATCCTGAAGTGTCCAGTTGTTTAGTTTAGGTCGGGCAGGCTTACGTATCGATGTACGATGCATTGATCTGGCATCTGCGGTTTTTTTCTTGGTATTCAAACAAGGAATCGGATTGATAGATCAGAATTGCGATTGATTGTTTAATTGTGAAATTGAAACATGGGATTGGGCGCGAAACCATTAATCACACCAATTAAACCAGCGATATCGGGAATAAGAGCAATAAAAAGATCCAATATCAATATCACGATGAATATCAGCATCTGCCATGTTTCACATTGCAATCTGAGCAGGTCAGTCAGCCCTTAATTGCTTGTTTTGGACCCAATGGAATCCTGATGTTCACTTCCATATGGCTCCGTGTTCGCGGGTGGTTCTAGGCACAGACGCTAGCTAATGCGGGTGGAGGGATTGTCCTGGAAACAGAAATCCATGGAATTTTTATGGGTCCGCCATGAGTGTCATGTGGGAGCCCAGCGACTATTCTTAGCGCTTGTCTAACTCTGGAATACTACCTACTCGGTCTGCTGGGTCGGATACCTTGCCGATGCGAGAAGATTGAGGAAAGAAAAGAGGAAAAAGAGGAAATGAGGGAAGTGTGAACTGTGAAACCTTGTCGGCATTATATCCGATCGTTTGGGTCGAGAGAGATGTCGTGACAGCTGGAGATGATTGCATTTACATATTGTTCCTCAAATAATTTACGACCAATATCTATCAATTTCTACCGTAGTAAATTGAAACTCTCAACACACACGATAGGAACGAATCAAAAAGAGAGAGAAAAAGGGAAAAGAAAAGGTTCAATGGAGAAATTTGAATCCATCCACAACCTGCCAGGTACTACTGTATTCAGTAGTATCTACTCCAGAATCCGTAACGCCGATGGAAGCCCACCGAATAAGCTAAAGAGATAAGAATGGCGAGTGACCAGGGGTAAACCTTCCTAAAATCACCCAGAAGGCATGGTTGCCATCCGCGTAAGGGGGAGGAACGGAGAACCTTCACAAGTGTTCGACAAGAAAAGACCAACGGGGGGGGCATGAGGGAGGGGCGGGTGTCAATGCTGACGACGGGCAGTGGTCGTCTGATCAGAAAAAAATTGATGAGAAGGGCCCAGAAGGGGAGGAAGGAAGGCAAAGATTAGTGGGAAAGGAAGGGGATTGCCCATTGATTGCTGGCTGCGTTTTTCCCTTTTTCCTTTTTCTTTTTCCCTCTTTTCCTCTTTTTCCTTTTCCCCCACGCCCCCACTTCTCCGCCATGGACGAACGGGGATGCGCATCCAGCAGATTGCCAGATTGGGTACTCGCCGCTAGTCCATTGCACCTGCTCTTCTGACCCTCTTGTTCTGTCTGTCTGTCTCTGTATTGGTATTGAGTGAGAGTGTCCTGCCCCCCTCTCCCTCTCTCCTGCTCGACTACTACCTCTTTCTAGTGTTTCCCCGGGCTAGTCCAGTCGATAGCAGCAGGTACTGGTACCGTACTAGCGATCTAGTCTAGGTCGGATTGGACTCGACTCGACCTTGGACCTTACTTTCCGGCAGGAATACCACCTAGACCCAGGGGATTCCCCGGAACAAGCTATGCATGACCCAAATCCTATCTGGGGGGGCACTTTTTTTTTAATAATTTGATTGAAAAGGGAAAAAATTGAGGGACTACCACGCAAAGAACTAAAATAAAAATAAAATAGAAAATTTAAGGGAATAAATTATCAGCAACCCCGAGGACAACGTGAACAAGAAGAAGAAGAGGTCCCACCGAGTTGGATAAAGAGTCTCCCTCATCCTGCCTCCAACATCTCTTGAGCCAGATTTGATTGATTCCCTTCCGTTCTGTTCTCCTTCCCTTCCCTTCTACCCGTCGCCACACCCCAATAAACCACACCCGGTCTTATCCAGTCTTCTCTGTGACCTCATACCCTCTCTCTGCGGACACTCTCCTCTCTCAACCTTCCCTCCAGCCTTTCAGCGGTCTATCCACACCTGGCGCGTCCGCTTGTTTCTCCAGATTCATCTCTCGGATCCCTCTCCACCCAATCGGTTATCACGCATACGTCACCATCCGTCGCGCTGGGTCCTTGCTCTCTTGCTGCTCGCTGCTCTCATACTTGCACACTCAACTCTTGGATCTGTACTACTTGCACTACTACTGGCTTGCTGCAACTGCCGCCACCGGGCGTGTCCTCATTTTCGTAGTTCCAGCCTTACTACCTACCTACTATCCCCACCCCCCACTCGTCCGTCTTTTCTTAAGTATCGGACTAGGGACGTAATCCTGTTTTCCTCCTTTCTATTTCAATACCGCCACGATTTCTCCAATCAGTTCTTCCCTTTTTCAGGCTCTGCCTTCCTGGTCACTTCTATCCTCCCTCTTTAGGAAATCAGAAGTCGGAGCCTCAAAAGGCCCTCCCATCGCACAAATGCAGAAATCACCCACCATCACTTTTGACTCTATCGCTCTCCCCGATCCTCTCAACCCCCCCACCAAGAAGACCAGAACCCCACCAATTACCACCTCCAAGATGAGGAATCCTTTCGATATGGCCGACCTCGACTCCGCCGTCGAGCAGGAAGAACCCCAGCCTTTCATGGACATTCACGCCTACCAGTCGCATGATGGCAATCGCTCCCTGTTACAACCCAATGAAAGCCGTCACGGAAGCAGTATGAAGGATCGCTTCATCGGTGCCATTGACACCGGTACCACCAGTTCCCGTTTCATCATCTTCGACTGCACTGGTGTTCCTGTGGCCAAATACCAAATGGAATTCCGCCAAATTCACGAGAAATCAGGGTAAGTCTCACCATTCTAACCATGGCCATCTTCATCCCGCTCATGTCTATTTCCTACTTCTTAGATGGCACGAACAAGACCCCTTTGAACTCGTCGATTCCGTATACACCTGCATTGAAGAAGCTATGAAGACCTTCCTCGCACTCGGTCACTCCCGGGACGATATCGAGGCTATTGGTATTACCAGTCAACGTGAGACAACAGTGTGCTGGGATTGGGAGACTGGTGAGCCTCTACACCACGCAATTGCGTGGCCAGATACCAGGACCACTGGGCTGGTTCGAGAACTCAAGGCAAAGGAGGGTGCGGATGAGCTATCAAACATCTGCGGCCTTCCCCTGTCGACATACCCTTCTTCCGTCACCCTCATGTGGATGCTCCGCAACCTCCCCGAGGTGAAGAGGGCATATGATGAGGGCCGCCTAGCTTTTGGTACCATCGACACCTGGCTGTTGTACAACCTGAACGGTGGCCCGGAGGGCGGCCGACTGGTGACTGACGTCACAAACGCCTCACGAACCATGTTCATGAACCTCGAAACGCTTGATTACGATGATAAGTTGTTGAAGTTTTTCGAAATCGATAAGAACAAGATCAGACTGCCCAAGATTCTTCCTTCCTCTGACCCCGAGGGCTACGGATGGGTTAGAGACGGCCCGCTTGAGGGTATCCCCATCACAAGCTGTCTCGGAGATCAATCTGCTGCTTTGGTCGGTCACTGTGCCTTCACGCCCGGATCTGCGAAGAACACTTATGGCACGGGCTGTTTCCTTCTGTACAACGTTGGTGAGAAGCCTGTTATCTCCAAGCACGGCTTGCTTGGCACCGTGGGCTTCCAGTTGGGCAAGCACCGCAAGCCAGTGTATGCCTTGGAGGGCAGTGTTGCCGTTGCTGGAAGTGGTATCTCCTTCCTGATGAACAACATGGGTTTCTTCCGTGATTCCCGTAAAGTCAGTGAGGTCGCTGCGACCGTCCCCGACAGTGGCGGCTGTGTCTTCGTCACTGCCTTCAGTGGTCTGTTCGCACCCTACTGGATTGATGATGCCAAGGGAACCATCTGTAAGTTCACCCGCGTTCTTCGCCGTTCTTTGTGAAGAAAATATTTACTGACTTTAATTCAGTTGGTATCACCCAGCACACCCAGCGTGGACACATTGCACGTGCCACCATGGAAGCTGCCTGCTTCCAGACCAAGGCCATCTTGGATGCCATGGAGATGGACAGTGGTCACAAGTTGTCGGAATTAGCCGTCGATGGCGGTATGAGCAATTCCGATATCTGCATGCAGGTAGGTTACTCACATGATTCTTGTCACCTGATCAACGGAGACTAATGCCCCCCCTCTTAGACTCAAGCCGATATCATTCAAATCCCCGTTGAACGCCCGGCCATGCACGAGACGACGGCGCTGGGAGCCGCCATCGCAGCTGGCTTCGCGGTCAACATCTGGAAGGATTTCAGCGAGCTCAAGGACATGAACCGGGCTAACCGCACGACCTTCCTTCCCCATGCCTCCCCAGTGCAGAGCAAGAAGATGTACCGTCAGTGGTCCAAGGCCGTCGAGATGTCGCGTGGCTGGCTCGACACGAATGATTCGGAAGAAGAAGAAGAAGAAGGACAGAACGGTGCATAGTATTCTTCTTAAACCCACGTCATAGAACGGTGGCTTTGTCTTTTTCAACATTTGATTCAGCGATTTAGCGTCTTGATTTTCTCATTGCTTTGCACTCGGGGTTACGGCATGGCTACTTGGGTCCTGGGTTCGGCCTGGCACAGGTTCAAATTTCTCTGGGGATACCTGGATTCCACATCAGGTACATTATCGGTATATATAGCTGCACGGTACTTACCTTATACATATTCATGTCATTGATATTTCAGATAGATATAATAGGAATGACGTCTGATGATGAACAAGACCTTCTTTACTTCATATTGAGCATGATCGTAGCCAGAATAGACTACGCGAACTTACTTGATATACATACATACATACATCGGCATCACACATGCCTTCTACAGTCCAGTAAAAGAGTATAGCAATAGTAGTAGTTGACCCGCCCCAACATGAAGCATAAGTTTCATGATAGTAATAGTATGTAAGTATGGTATGGTATCACAACTAACCCACAAATCCAATAGAAAAACAATAAGAAAGAAAATAATCCATCCCACAACCCAGTGAGATAATAAAAAGTATATATCCGATCAATGCTAAAAATCTATCAATCTACCTCCCCTCAGCCTTCTCAACCAACTGATCCTCCAACCCCATAGGCTCCCAAATCTCCTTCGCCTTCTTATTCTGCACCCAGACCACATCCCCCTGCACAAACGCCACAACGCCGCCCTTACCCGTCGCACTAGCCGTAATGCGGAACAAAGGCTGACCGTTTTGCGGATGCGCTTCACGCAATGGCAGCATAATGAGGCCTTGTTCCATGCACCATGATTCGAGAATATCTTTGAAGGCGACTTCTTCGATGATTTTGGGTTTGCGGGGTTGATCTGCTGTTGTTGCTGGCGCAGCAGTAGCGGGTTTGTCTGTGGGTTTTGTTGTTGCGTGTTCGGTGGTGGTAGTGGTAGATGAAGGAGGAGGAAGTTCAGCAGCGGCACGATCGCCGAGTTGGGAGGCGAGGTCCATAGTTTGGAGACCCTTGTTCCATTCGTCGTCGACGATGGTGAGGTCGTTGATATCGGAGGGGATTTGGGTGCGCCACCAGGTGAACCATTCGGCGACTTCTTCGTAGTTGGGGTCGTTGGTGAGCCAGATGTAGAGGATGTTGTGCCATTTGGGGAAGAATTCGGCGACGAGGAGAAGACCCATGACGTTTGTTTTGAAGAAGTCTTTCCATTTCAGGACGTTTTCGAGGGCTGTGAGGTCTTGGTCTTGTGGGTTGACTTCGAAGTCTTCGCGGAGGTGGCGGCCGAGGCGGGGCAGGAGGTGGTTGCGGAGACAGGTGTCGAATTCGGAGCCGAGGGCGTCGCGCCAGAGTTCGATGCCGTTGATTAATCCCTTGTTGAGGTCCCAGCTGTCTAGGACGACGCGGAATTTGCGCTTCGCGTCGGAGAGGAGGCCCGTGGGTTGCTTGGGGTTGGTGTGTCGCTCGTCGAGGTATTGGAGCCAGGTGAAGAGCCACCAGGGGAAGCGGGAGTTGCTGGTGGATGAGGTGTGGTGGCGGCGACTGCTGCTTCGGGGTTTCCAGTCTTTGAGGCCGTTGGTGAGCTTGGGGACGACGAGTTGGTCGAGGACGTTGGTGTAGACGAAGGAGGGGAGGAGCTCTTTCCAGGCGACGATGAGGGAAGTTGCTGGGGCGGGTTCGTATACGTCCCAGTCGTTGAGGAGGGCGGAGCGTACGCGGGGTAGCCATAGGGTGTAGATCATAGTCTCGTAGGGGGAGGTGGATTGCCGTTGGGTGTGTTCAGTGTTGGCTTTTCGGAGGAGCAGAGGTTGGAGACGACGGAGGTTGGATACGAGGAAGGTTGGGTCCCTGAGAGGCTCCCATTCTTCCATCGCTTGACGGAAAAGAGGATGCAGGGCTGCGACGGCCGTTTCTGGCAGTCGGTATTCATCAATCTCGTTGCGGTACTTGATCTCCATGGAATCCAGCTTGTCGGTGATTTCGTCGAATTTCGCGCGAGTGTCTTCCTTCTGGAAGATCTCTAGCTGTCCGATGGCTGTGACGAGCTCAGACAGCTGGTCGGCCTTGAGCTGATTCGTATCTAGCTGTTCCACGACTTGGGCTTCCTCTAGCTCGATGTATTTCTTCCGCTCTGTTAGACCCTTCCACTCGTCCGCAAACGCTTCTAGGTCGTTTCGAGCGCGTTGCGCGATCTTCCAGGCTTCTCCTTCTCCTTGGGTAACGAACGTCTGCGGCGTCATCAGACCAGCTGTAGACGTGAGCACCTTCTGATCCTTCCCAGTCGCATCGATCAGCGACTTCAGCACATTCGGAACTTCCAAGCCCTCCATATCCTTTTCCATCTCGCGCGCAGTTCGGAACTGAGGCTTCGCGCGAGCCACTGGTGTCCCTGTCCCGCTCCGGCCCTCTCGTTTGCGCTCCTCCTTCTTCTTCCGTCGCCTTTTGCGCTCTTCATCCGAGCTATCCTCGACAGACTCGCCCCGGAGAGCTGCTGCCCGTTTTTCCTCTTCCCGCGCTTGTTTGGTCTTTTCACGGACTGCACCCAAACCGGCACCTGTAGGACGAGCCTGGGCCTCAATCGGGTTGACAATACCTTGACCGGAAGAACCCAAACCCTGTCCCTCGACGTAACCCATCTTGGCCATCATGCGCGCGGCGAAGGAGTTGCCTCCGGACATTCCTTTGCTAGCGTTGTTGCCGCCGCCTTTCATCGCTGACTGCGCGGTATTATTCCGGAGGTTACGACGGGCGCCCAGCCCGCCGTGAGATGGAGGCGACTCGGAGCGAGACGACGCGCGAGCAAACCCGCGAAAGCCCATGGTTGGGCGGTAATCTTCTTCTTCCTCTTCATCGGAGCTCATGTCGGCGATCTTGCGTTTTTGGCCAGCGTAGGGCGAGGATGAGGGGGACTCCATGGCCGGGCTGGAGGGCGAAGGGCGGCACAAAGGAAGGGATCGAGATTCACGGCGATGAAGGCGAGAGAAAGCCCGGCAGCATGACGGAGATTGTGATTGAGTATGGATGGATGAAGCTAAAAGATGGTGGATCCAAATGCCGGGAAACTTCGGCGCGGGGAAATGCGCCCTCCGAAGAAACAAGCCGTTATGACGTTGAACTTCTTCATCTCTCCTTCTTCCTTCTTCTCCCTTTTTCTCTTCAGCAACTCTCCTCTCATCCCCTAAACACCCTCGGGTCTATTGTAATAGTGCATCTTGCTCTGTTCTAATTAACGCTCACAATGGCTGCTTCCCTCGTCCGCACCTCTGCCCGTACGGCCCTGCGCGCCGGAGCTTCGGCTACTCCCAGAACTGCCGGCATGGCGGGCTTGACTTTTGCCCGCGGCAAGGCTACTCTCCCTGACCTGTCCTGTATGCATTCCCCTGCGATTCCAGAGACATATAGAGCTTGTAGTGACTGAGCTGACTCCCTGTAGACGACTATGGCGCTCTCGAGCCCTCCATCTCCGGCAAGATCATGGAGCTTCACCACAAGAACCACCACCAGACCTACGTCAACAGCTACAACACTGCCATTGAGCAGCTCCAGGAGGCCCAGCACAAGAACGACATTGCCGCTCAGATCGCTCTCAAGCCCCTGATCAACTTCCACGGTGGTGGTCACCTGAACCACACCCTCTTCTGGGAGAACCTTGCTCCCAAGAGCGCTGGCGGTGGTGAGCCCCCGTCCGGTGCCCTGTCGACTGCCATCAACGACACCTACGGCAGCCTGGAGGAGTTCCAGAACAAGATGAATGCTACTCTTGCTGCTATCCAGGGTAGCGGCTGGGCTTGGCTCGTCAAGGACAAGCAGACCGGTCACATTGGCATCAAGGCCTACGCCGTAAGACTGCACCATTCCTGTGAAGAAAGCTTTCAAGTTGGCTAACCTTTTCACAGAACCAGGACCCCGTTGTCGGCCAGTTCCAGCCCCTGCTGGGTATCGACGCCTGGGAGCACGCCTACTAGTAAGTGCACCTGCCCTAACCCGTGAAGATCACCAGAAGCTAACATCATTTTTAGCCTCCAATACCAGAACCGTAAGGCCGAGTACTTCAAGGCCATCTGGGAGGTCATCAACTGGAAGGCCGTGGAGAAGCGCTTCTCTGCGTAAAGCTTTTCTTATGATATGAACTGTATATTGACGCGGCTTGATTAGCGATTGTGGATCTGCGTATTATGTGTACTATGGATTTGGAACTAATCAGGCTCAACCCGATGATGCCCTAATGCAAATTCCGTATTAATGGCACTCTCCCCTCCTTCTCTTCGTTTCTCTCCGTAAACAAAAAGACTCATGTTCCTCATCAGCCACAGTGGCTGAAGCTCGGCAGGTGGCGGATGTCAGCTCCGTTACATCCGGTAAACGTAATACAGCGGCGATCATGTTTCACATTCGCTGCATCGCCGGCTTCATCTTCATCTTACTTCTTTTCGTCCTCCCCTCTTCTCCGCTTCACCCTCCACTCCTCTCCCCAATGTCTGATGACAGCCCGGGAGAAAGGCGCGGCTTCCGCGCCTTCTTCGCTAATGCCCTCCGGCCCAAGAAATCCCGACAAGTCCTACGCAAGGGCTACAGCGCATCCACTCCAGACCTCCGAGCCGGCTTCAAGCGGCCCAGCACCACCAGCGAAGATGTCCCTCCGCTGCCATCCATAGCGCCATTGGAGGCCCATCGTCTCAAATACCGAGAACTCAACGCCAACAAAGACACCCAACTCGGTGAAAGCCGCGATCACACCGAACTCCTGCACGCCATCGGCGTCCAGGACATCGACCCTTCAGACCCCTACGCCAACCGCTCCGAGTTCGACAACCGTCCTCCAGGCGAGCCCTTAATCGCCAGTCTTACCCCAATCCTCTGGGCAGAGATCTGCTCCTATCTCGATCCCGCCGACCAAGCCAGTCTCGCCTTCGCCAGCAAAACCCTCCTCTCCAAGCTCGCCCCGCTCCAACCCTGGCAAGCCCTCAATGACCCTTCCAACCGCGAATACCGATCCGACTTCCTCGTCTCCCAAGACCGCTACCTCCCCCATCACCTCCTCTGCTTCCCCTGCGCCCGCTACCACTGTCGCACCCAAGAAGGTCACGAGAAACTCCAACCCGCTCATGTCGTCAACCCTCTCTTCAACTGCCCCAACATGCGCAACTCCCTCCTCCCGCCCCCGCGTCACCGCATCACCCACGGCCGCAACCTCCCCTTCAGCTTCGTCCAACTCGTCATGCGCGCCCACAACTTCTCCCCCTCTTACGGCCTTCCCCCAGATTCCCTCTCCCGCCGCTGGCGCCGCGACGACTGGTCCCACCACTCCCGCTTCCACATCCACAAAGGTCACCTGCTGATGCGGGTCATCAGCACCCGCTTCGCAGACCCAGACCTCCCGCCCAGCTCACAACGTCTCCTCCTCTACTCCCGCGAAGACTACTGGCCGTATTTCTCTGCATGCGCGCACTGGCGCGATGGCGAACTCATGAACGTCTGCAAATGCGCCCTCACGCACATCCCCAAACCCCGCGACACCTCCGCCCTACAGGGTCTCGAACACCGCGCGAAGGACCTCATGGCGCGGCGCATTCATAACCCTAACTCGATTGCCACTCTATGCGGAAAATGTCGCCCCATGCGCCGCTGTCCGGAGTGTCCATCTGAATACCTCGTCGAGATCAAATTGACCGAGGATCGCACGGATCCTCGCTCCTTGCACTTCCGACATGCAATTGTGGTCACCAGGTGGTGTGATCTGGGTGACGGGAAGTCGCCGCGGCTGTCGAGGGAATGGGCGGCATGTAATGGGTTACTGGAGGGGTATGATTCGTTTCAGATGCTGGGGAAGCGGTCTATCTCAGGAATCTTTGAGGCTTCAATCGCGGATGATACCTTACCTGGACAGAGGATTATATCGATGAATCCAAAGGGGAAGAAGAGGGGTGAGGATGGGACAGGGTGGTATTGATTGTTTCATTTCCCTCTCAGAAAACAAAATGTTCATGTTGGAGTTTTGGGTTTCAGGTATGTATGGGAGTTTTGTATGGACTGGTTGCATTGGGTATGGTATGGCGGACGGCATATTTACATAATTTTATTATATAGATTGACAACACAAGCAGGCAAGGCTAGGATAAGACAGGGGTTAGGGAGGGCAGGACAGGCGTGTATGGAGTACTTACTACTTCTTATTATCATATTGCATCATCATAAAAGAGTGTCTTGTATACCAGCAGACTTACTAGTTTACTAGATCCATCTGGGAAGGTTAACCCCCCATCTAACATGTACTATCTGCATATCATAGCATTTTGTAGTATCCAACGCTAGATCTCTCGTCTTTTAGAAACAATCAGATCAAAGAAGTAGGAAAGGTCGTTCCAGGTCTCGGTAGACGGTCTTACTACTAAGTACTCTTGCGTTCCATCTACAGTGGATTCCTAATTTCCCAACCACGGTATAATAAGGTACTAACTACTAATTGAATATATTGAATGGTAATAAGTGTTGGCGATTTACGGTCTAAATAGTGTCGTGACAATTCATAGTGCTGTAAGTTACCTGGTAGCTTAAGGTCTGTTCTGGTTAATCACAAAATTAATTGATTATCAAGGAAGGCTATCAAGAAGTCCTCTAGAAAAGTATACTGGTAACTTCGCAGAAAAGCCTAGTTGATATGAATCACTGCTTGAATTTCATGAAGAACGAAGGATCAGAACGTCAGGTATTGATAAAATCACCAAAGCAAGAAGCACAAAATGATATCGTGTGCCAGCCAGATACCATGTGTATAGCAAGCAACAAAGAATTAGCAACCACCTCTAATGGCCCAAAAATATAACGTCAGAAACGCGGTACTCTCTGCTGCGCATGCAATACTGGTACAAATCCGTGTCATCAGACATGTAACTCATGGGGTATCGTGATAGATCATAAACAGTCCCGGGAAAGATGCAAAGGAAAACAGAAAGTAAAGAAAGAAATTCGTAAGCGGGAAAAGGCAGCTGCCAGTTTAGCCACGACGAGCCCGTCGGTCCATGTACCTTGGTCGTCGGCCCGTTTCTTCGTCTTGGTTTGAATGTTTAGATTTAGAGGCAATGTCATCAATGGCAACGTTCATCGCGCCCATCTCAATGGTTCTACCGGAGTCAGAAGCACTCTTTCCTGACTCTGGAGTCGCCCGAGGAGGTCTGCTCTTGACCAAGGCAGTACTGGGCGCGCTGGCCTTCACCGGAAGCTCTGGTTCCGGCTTCTTCCCAAGCCCGCTAGCTCCTTTCACCCAGCTGAAGATTCCAAGGGAACTGCGTCGCTTGTGGTCTTTGGGGTCAGGCGGCGGCGGTTTGGCCACTGCATTGTTCATGAAGCCGGATTCGGTAAAGGAGTGTGGCAATGTCCGATGAATATCTCCCCGTCTGGCGTCGGCAGGCATTGGCACAGACGAGGAGAAACTGGAACTATGGCTTTCAGCTTTGGAAACCGTCTTAGTTGGTTTGGCTGGATTGTCATCGCGTGCTTTACGAATAATGGGAGCAGGAGCTCCATCATCTGAATCCGACCCATCAAACATCAAGGAGGGCTGCAGACGACGAGGGGGTGCCGAACGTGCAAAGAAAGGAGGCCGGATGCTAATTTTGCGTCCGATCATCCGCCGATCTAGTTCAGGCCCAGGCTGCAAGCCAGACTCTAGCGACTGTATATCCAGTGTGGGAATCATGGGAACATCCGAGTCCCTGATGGTGGAATCGATGCTGTGCCGACGACCAATAAAAGAAGACTGGCTGGTGATTCGCGTCTCCTGAGGTCGGGGGTTTTTCGATTTAGGCACAACAGGCATCATAGCAGACTTGTCCCGTCGGCGTTTGGCATCCGGCTTAGAGGCCTCGACCCAATCTTGGGGCGTCAAAGGAGGCGATGAAGACAAGGAGCTGTCAGATTCATCCTGTGCCACGGACCCATAGTAGCTATTATCGAGCTTTGAAAGAACCCTGTCAAGGCCTTCACCATTGAGAAATGCATTCTGGCCAATGTACCCAAGGCTCTTCTTGTCGAGGGTTTCTGGGAAATATAGCCTTTTATCCCGCGATGTGAGGCTGTTCAAGGGGAAGAAAGTAGGCGATTCTTCTTCCTCATCGGTGTCAGGTCGATGTAAAGTGGCATCACTTACATTCATGTCCACGCTACCAACCGCTGCACTGTTAGTGGAGTTACGCCTCGTTGTAAGTGCCCCTGCAGAACGTGGACGACCGTGTCCGGCCGTCATAGCTTGATCAACAAGACTCTTTTCCGCGACAATGCTGCCGTTCGACCGATTGGGACCAGTGGCGTACGCCGTACTCATTGTGTCTGGAGTAGGGGGTAACCTCGAACCTCCAAACACGCTATCCACTCGTGTTTTCTGGCTCGAGCTATTGTACGAGTCGCTGTCAAAGCTTGGTTTACCCGTCTGTCTGAGAAGATTTGAGGGTAATATATCTTGCTCCGGTACATCTTCCAGGAAGGCATCGCGTTGTGGCTGGATCCAAGATTCAATCAGGCTTTTACTGGCGGAATCCTCAACCGTTCCTTTGGGAGCCTCCGAGACCCCTGATGAGTCTCGCTCTTTAACCGGGATATCCAACCTATCGCTTGCTTCTTCATCGTGCGGGTACAATTCGCTGCATTCGCTCAGAGCACTGAGCCTTGGGGACTCTGGTTCAAGGAAATCGCTCATAGACTGCAGACTTTCTGATTTTGTCATGTCACTCAATGCTGAACGAGACCGGTCGTCGGCAGTAGTTGAGGTGGTCTGCAGTGTTGTGGGGCTCTTGTGATCATCGGACAACAATGAAGGAGCTCGCTTGAGCTGATGCGAATCCGAAGATGACCGCCGATGCTTCGAACGAGAAGTACCCCGCCACGAGGATGTTCTCTCCGGGATGTCAATAGCGGCAAACGTGGTATTCTGCCTGGGAGTCGTAGCACCGGGGTCATCGTCTTCGAACCCGCGAGTGGTAGAAGGTGTCGATGGATTTTCACCAGCTTCCAACTGGGCCACTTTATTCTCCAGAAGGCAGATCATGTCAACGGCCTCCGTAATTGCTTGGTCCCGCTTGTCAACCTCATGTCGTAGTTGCTCGTTGGATTCCCTTAGTCGCTGATTGTCTGACTCGGCAACCCTCAGTTCCTGAACCTCGTCTTCCAAGCCTCGCAGGCGCTCAAGTTCCTCTTCCAGTTGCTCCATACGCTGTAGTTTCTTCTCCATAGCGGCCATTTGTTGCACACGGTGGAATATTTCGAGCTTCAAGTCGAAGTTCTGTTTATTTATCTTGGAGACGTACTGCCATTTGGTCAGTCCGTCTATAGGCCACTTGGATCGAATGACCCAGAAACACTTACCTCACCCATTTCTCTGACACCCATTTCATGCGGCTGCCTGAGACCTGACGAAAGCGCGGTCTGAATTTTCCGTTGTTTCTCCGAGCCCACCTCTTCCTGCGACTGCGATCGGGATTGCGACTGGGACTGTGCGGGGGATTGAGATCGAGACTGGGGCCGGGAGTGAGATCGTTCTGGCGTGCGCGGGGCGCCCTGACCAGCGTCCTCCGACGCAGTTCCCTTGGGAACTCGATTCGCGCGTTGTTCTTTGAGAAGATCTTGGAGAAGGGCCGAAGAAGGGTTGACGAGCGATGGAGGGACAGGTTCCGGAGTACCTGTGTGTCCATCACTAGTCAGCGTGTGCGCTCGCTCCCTCCTACGTGAAGTTTGCGGTGATGCCATGTGCGTACCGGCGCCAGATCGCTGCGGCGTTCTCGGGGTTGCAGTCCTGGGGGTCATCGACATTGGTGAAGCGTCGTTCAGCCACGACATTTCTATAGTCCGATCAATACCACTGCACGCCCGATGCTGGGAAGAATTCCGCACCTGAATTCATTTGCGGCGAAGAGTCCATGGCGACGGTTCCCTTGACCCGGGCGAGGGCAAGAGGCTTTGGGGGAGCAGACCGGCCTGCAGGGGAAGAGAGAATCAGTCCAGTGTCTTTTGTTTGTCTCAAGCATCCCTTGGGCGACAATCAAGGGATGAAAGGATAGTCAATAGCTCACGCTTCAGCTTCGGTTCGGGTTTGAGGGAGGCCGTATCGGTCGGAGGCGAGGTGTTTGAAGGGGAGGGAAATGAGCAATGGCGCAGGGAAGAAGGGGCAGTTGACTGCACCGAGACGGTGCTCCGTCTTTGGATATTTCGGTCCATGTTGCGTGTGTGTGTGTCTGCGGGTGAGATGGGCCAAAGTTGCCTAGCTAATGCGCATAATTGACAAGATGCGCGATGCCAGTTAGACTGCAGTAGGTTCGCAGGATCGTATCCACTACGCGCAAGTTCGTTCAGAAGGATCGGGGAGGGAGTCGACCGATAGAGCAAGGAGGAAAAAGCAATGTCTCAGGCGGAAGGTGAGAAAACGCGACTAGGAAGGGCGATTGGTGACGAAAAGAGGCCCACTGCGCGTCCAAGCGTCTAGTGGGAACGGCGAGGAGGGGAGGCAGAAGTGGAGGAAGTGTAAGTTGGGACGGGAAGAACAAAGACAGAAGCGAGAAAAAGAAGGATCAAGTCAGGACGTGAGGGGAGCGAAAGAGAAAAAGTGTGAGGAGAAAGTGTGACGAGTCGATCGTTGGATCCTCACGGCCAAGAAAGGGGACCGAGTGACAGGAAGATGATCTCCACACATGCATCCATCCATGGAGGGAGGGAGGGATTAGTTTAGTGAGAGCGATCCGGATCTTGAGTTTCTCGGTATGTATGCATGCAGGCATGCGTTGGATTTGGGCGGGAAGTTACTGTGGTATGGACGGAAGGTTGCCAAGCAACAAAGAAGGTTGACTGAACAACGAAATGCCAGCGAGGGGGGAAAGCAAAAGAATTTGAGGATAAAAGTGAATGCGTGATGATGATTGTGATGAATGCAAGCAGGCAAGTAGGCAGTCTGGATGGTCTTGGATCGAGAGAGGGGAAAAGGCGTGCAAAGCAACGAGATAGGCTCAAGGAACAAACGATCGCAGGGCACTAAAACCCGGGCTAAAATGGCCTTAGCGGAGCACCAGCAAGTCAGGAACTGGATCCCGGTCCCGGTCGTTCTTCCCACCATCTCCTCAGCGGGTTTAGTGCCGTTTAGTGCAGTGGATTAGTGGATGGTCTCCGATGGCTGGGCCGGCTGAACCTGAACTTAAGCTTCCAATCGCCTTTCTTCTTCTACTATTGTCCTGAATTTGAGGACCACCAATAGCTAGGGTGGCTGGTCAAGTGTAGTGGTTGGAAAGTCCGTACCTTTTACTATTTTTGTTGTTACCACACTCCATCCCTACTGTAACCTCTCCCTATGGCTCCATCCCTCAACTGATCACACGCATCCTTACGGAGGATATACAAGGATCGCTACCACTGAATTAAAGGGACGGGAATTATCAGTGTCAGTGCCCTTCTCCCCCACTCTATCGGCTAAAATCTCACGATTCCACTACCCCTCCTCTCCATCAACCTATCTACCACCTATCTAGTATAATCATCCTCAATGTAGCCGCCCGGAATTGCAGCAGAATCTGATCCGTCAACTTGCCCTCCTTTTTTCCCCTTCAAGCTGCCCCACGTTCCAGGGACCCATCGGCCGCCCGTGGTTCTCCCCTCCCCACTACACCAGTCCGTCTGCAATCATCGTCTCATCATCCCCATCGCTCTCAGCTTTAGTCCTTCATCATCGCCCCGTGACAGACAATTTGCCCCATCGTTCTTCCCGTGGCTCGTCTCGGACACCCAGAAATAGATTTTCTCTTTTTCTTTTCTTTCCCCTTTTCCTTATCCATTCTTCCCAGCTCTCCCAGCTCGTGGGCCTTAAAACACAACTTCTCGGTAATGCCGGTCGTAGGCGCTTTTTTACTCCGCCAGTCGGAGTTGACATGTCCTTCCAGTCATTCTTATCTCGGGGAGCATTGAGCTCGTGACTTCCCTCCATATCTCCGGAGCACGGAGTACAGTACATGAAGATCATGAATCTGCGTGAGGGGTTGTCCGCAGCGATTGACCGGAACTTTTAGATGATAGGTTTCGGGTAACTGTTTCATGTTGTTCCTTCAATTAATCGAGTGCCAGCAGGACATCAATTGAGCTGTTTCAAGTTCTATCTTCAAAATCAGATGTCAACCTTACGATCACAATTACCAACCAGACCTCTACATGATAAATCCAAGGATAATGAATATTATAGTCATCACATTCTGATACTTCATAATTACTCTTAGTAGTCTTCTGTTATAATTTTATGTTCATACCGGCGAGCACAGCTCAACCTTTCAACAACCCATACCTTCCACCCAATACCATCACTTCTTCTTCGCCTCTCCAGCCCAGACCCGCGTCTCCTTAGCACTATCATGCGCAACCCGGAAAACTACCCACAAACATCAGTAATCAGCAACACACAACACACAGACACAACGATCAACATACGCTGTCTCTCCGTCTCATCCAACCCACGCAAGAAATCCGCTCCCTGCCCTAAAGCACCCTGCGGATTATGCGCATGATCCGCAATGACCGCTGAACGCTTCTTAAACGTCTATCATCATCACCACAATTAGCCACATCAATCCCCCTTCCCCCGGGTTACAGAAAGCACCATACATTACTCAAAACCTCCACCAACTCCTCCTCCTCAAACAGCTCCAGAATCCGCTCACTCAAACTATAGAAATGCGGTGCCAGGGACCGCAGATCCACCGTCCGAGGATCAGCCTTCAAGGCATTCATGACTCGTTCTGAGAGCGCGGAGGGGAGATCCAGCGTGACTAGGCGGGAGGTTCCCAGGCGGGCACTGCGATAGTTAGACTATACCCTCTCTTCAAGATAACATAGTAGTGGTAGATTGAACTCACCCGATAGAAAGCATCTCACCCAGCCATAATGGCAAATCAATGCGCGTTCCTGCTTTGATCTAGATAGAGCACACGCACACAGATTTAGCAACACACTTCGTTCACAAAACAACAACATCATGGATAGGAGAGAGATACATTTTCCCCCGCATTCCCCTCCAAAATACCAAGACCAGGTACGTCCAATTCAAACGTGCAGGGTAGTTTCTGAATAGATCGGATGTGTGAGAATGAGCCCATGCATGCAGTTCCATTTTCCACCTACTTGGGAATCCGTCAAGATGGCATCAATGTCATAATACGACATTTTCAATGAGAGGAACTATTCGTGTATAACTAGATTATCAATAGTATTCCTTGTCAATTGATATCTCTTTTTCAGATGGAGGGTCAAACTCGTCCTTCTTTCCTTTGGAGGCGCGTCCCGCATGGCGCGCTGTCACGTGCGGGGAATCTTTACTTTGCGGTTAGCCAATGGGAGGGGAGGTATTTACAGTCGGTGCTACATACTAATTTGTGGGACAGGGTTTGGGGTTCAACTACAATATTAGTTTATGTTTCTAAATTTGATGCTGTACTTGTGTTATATTAATGGGTATTGGCACATATATCCAATTAGTTGAGTGAGAAGCTGATTTCTATACATTCGATGACGTCACTTTGATTTGGACGGATGAAGGTATTTATCGATAATAATTAAAGCTAACTACTGTTCACTAAGCATGTACTTTTTATACAGCAACTAGAGTGTTTTGATTCAGTTTAGTCTACACTGCCGCTGATGATGACGCCTATACATGCACGATGTTTTCTAGGGAAGACTGCTGGGCATCCTGGGGTTTCTGCGGAGGCTCGTGTGGATAATGTCAGTGCAATAGAAAATGGCCAGAAAGGCTTTGAGAATATGCTCTGGGAGAATCTGGGTAGACGGCGGTCATTGTTACTATTTATGCTACTTTTACTGACACAAATTTGATATCTAATTTGCTGGAAACATATAAGAAAACCAGAGAAAACCGTAGACTGAATTCGTATCATGCTAGTAGTACCATGAATCTAGTGCTTGTGGTCCGAAATTGTTGCGCACTTCCATCCGCCAAAAAGCGTCCTCCAGATTCCAAATCTCGGCCGGACGACCTTCATAATCTTCGGTGCAGACGAGGAACAATTTAAGCCACTCAATACCTGGAATGCCGATATAATCCTCTATACTTAGGTACGCCCTCATTACCCGCCAAGCTTGCCCCACAGTGAGTGTGATTCTTTTTCCCGGATCGAATAACAGAGCCAGTCGAAGCGCATCTGTCCCATGGTGAATACCTCTCGCGGTGTCAATCTCTCCGCAAGATGAGAAGGGTATAGAATCAGGGTGGGTGTCGTATAGTTTAGACGTCATGAGATCTATCCTGTTGACGAACGGTAGTTGTATTGTCATCTTGTTTTCGAACAGTAGATGTAACAGTTGAAGATCGTACAGACTCTGCATTCCTTTCAAACTTCTCTAATGACATGGTTAGGTTATGATCATGCCATGAAAAATGACGCAGGTAGTAAGAATCAATGAAATCGCGTAGAGCTGCACCTACATCCACAGGGATTACCTTGAAGTCGATCCTCACTTTGCCTCCTGGTGTCCGCATGTAGAGCGTCTCATGGTGTTTTATGAAGAGCTGCGAGTTATACCAATGCAACGCATTCATGACGTCTTTCAGGGTCGAATCTCCTAAGTCCAGGACGACGTCAATATCTTCATTCCTAGCAGGAGCCTACTCAATGAATTAGTCAAAGGAACGCTTTTTTGGTGGGTGTCCTTCCAATCGAATATACTTACAATACTGGGCAAACGATCGGGACAATAACGCATGACAGCAAGTCCTCCTGTTATCCCCACGAATGTGGTATTCAAGTGACCTTTCTTTTTCAGTGACCGCATACATATGAGCAAATCTTTTGCAGCGTCATAGAGCTGTGCCTTGCTTGGATACAGTATATCCGGATACGCCTTATCGAATTCGTCGATTGTGAAGTTATCGAGACGCATCTTTGTTAATGAGTTTTCCATCCTGTAGTTGTCTGACAGATCTATGTAGACAGGAAACAGATGGGACAAGAATTCTGGGTTTACTTTATAGTCAACAGCGTGAAAAAGAAACGTTAGGGTGGTCAGTTGTGGCGTAGTAGAGCTATAGTTCGCTTGCTAGGCACCGGCTGCACCCTATTAGCACAAGTATTGCACTTAGTATCTTTAAGACATTCTGAAGGCTTGGACAAAGGAGTATTAACTTTGAGACAATGCAAAGTGTCTCTGAGCAATATTTGGGAATCTGCTTTGTGCGCGGGATATTAGCGCGTTCTTTGTTGACCTTTGACCTTGTACACTCGTATAATGCAACTATGAACACATGGCTATCACCGATCGTATACTCTCAGATATGGATTTAGATAGGTGAGATTATTTGTCACATGCAGGCTCCAGCCAAGTAGAAATTTAGCCTAATGAACATATGAGACATCTGATGATTTTAACCCTGCTACAAATATGAATTCTCACATGTCTTGTCAACATTATGCAATATACCGGGTAGGGTGTCTCAGACGACGATGTGTGCCCACACAAGGAGCTATACGGCCTGAGCGCCCCAATGTCTTCACTTCACAATGGAACTACAACATACGAACATCTTAGAGAAAAGAATATGATCCACTTTATTATAGAAGAGTCCCTCATGGTTATCATTCTTCTTCATCTGCCATGAGAAGTAAAGATAGCTTCGTCTTCTCGATCATGTCATCCCGTACTCTAGATATATAATTCTTCACCTGACACGGACTCTTCTTCGTCTCCCCATCGAAATAAAACTTCACAAAGCCACGCGCTAAATCTCCCAACACATCCCAACTCGGAACGAGCTCATAGTCTCCGCTTTCATCGATATGATCCAGCAGCTCACTCAAGTATCCATACCATATAGAAGACGTAGGGTCCTGAGGCCACTCTCTCACCATGAGAAGGACCACAGCGTCAATGAACCGGGCTGGCTTTGGAATCTTGATCGAACGAATAGACTGCCAACGACCATTTCCAGCTTCATCATTGTAGTCTGGTAGCCGAGGATCATCGACTAGCATATAGTCCGGGTCATCCAATGGTGGTAGTCGCGTGGGAACCGGCGTCAGGTCAATGAACAGGTCCCCCATCTTATATAAGAGCACGACGTGATTGTACGGTCTGTTCACCCGTGGTTGGATATGGTAGTGATATGCCGGTGCAAAAGGCCTCTTGTTGGGCCGGTATCCCTCGCAGTAAGACCTATGGCAACTGTGGAAACCGGCCTCTTTTAGAAGGGAGTCTGCTTCTGCAATGTAGAAGTTGGGGATGACCCAGGTAGAACTCTGGAAGTAGTTAGCTTCGATCTCATTGCAATTTGGTTGTAATAAAAAATAGTCATCTTACCTTTTGCTCCTGCACAAGCCCATAGACGCACATTAGCCCGTGGCCGCAGAATACGTTGGGCACTCCACCATTATCCAGCGCCTCCGCAATAATGTTCTCCAGTTTATAGTCGATATGAGTGGGAGCTTTTGCTCCAGACTCTTCGGACTGTGAACTCCCCATATCGTATGGCTTTTGTGTCGACATGTAGGATAGACTTGGTTGGAAACCGACTTCTGAGACTAAGTGGGGCGTTCTCTTTATATTAGAGTGCTCTAGACGCGACTCATAGCAATAGATGGGATTTCCCTAATTCAATATTTTTATCCTCCCGGTAGAGTCTTAGCACTCTTTGAGCATGAAGATCAGGTGGCATCAGCTCAATGTACTGCGCCTTCAGATACTTATAAGTTTATCGTTTCTTAGCTCTTTCCTACCTGCACTAATTTTTAGAGTAGCGGATATAGGGACACACGGACCGCTTTGGTTCAGGAAAGTGGAAGGTTACACAGGATTTCACCGTTTGAAAACTTAATTCATGGGATTAGTTATCTCTTTGTCCATTTCTTGCTTTAGTCACCATTTTTGTGGGTGTCTCGAGGAATTGTCCGTGTATGCCTAATTGCAAATGCTCTTGTTGTTCGAGATATGCTGTTGGTCCATCTTTCAGGTAGTATCCTGCCTCTCGTGAAATGTTGATTCTCACTTCAATGACCGGTACGTTCCACCATACTTGGTCGACCATGGCTATGGCTGGTTTCTGGTGACAAGAGTAAAGGTAGAAGTTGAAGGACAAGTCGGTGGCACTCCCCATCTGACGGAAAAATCCGGTCATGGTTCTTTTTCTTATTCCTAGCTATCATGCAGTACTGTCGAGAAAGAATTGCTACTGAACTCATTCTAGTCCCTGGATATGACATAGTAAAACTTGTGGTCGAAGAAACCCGAAATGATATCTTGTCGCACCCACGGCATACGCGCTATGCGTACTATGATCTCAGATCTAAATTATCTGACAAAGTAATTATCAGCTGGACTTATCCACTTTGACATACTCCTCACTTACATTCTGTCTACGACTGCAAAAATGTACCTCAAGCTTATTAGGGCTGACATCCTGACTAAGCAAACAAGTCACATGTCTCAGTATATCTATCACGTGCCTCCATCTTCACTGATTGCGGAACTTCGTACTTTTCACAAACTCGCATCTTAACCCATCCACTCAAACCTCTCGCGTCTTTGAAGGCCCTGTCCTTCCGATTCTCCCGTGGGATTTCAATCTCCCGATGGGTGGTTCCCTAGACGCCGCCCAGGACAGTGGACGCTGTCGAGATCCATGACGATGGCACCTCCGAGCGGGTCGGCGGCATACAAGAAGAAAGATGGCACCCTGACTATAGCCCAGGACCGCCAGTCGATCTCTTGGATCCCGGCGGCTGGCGGTGCAGCTGGTGCAATTACTCTTCCTGTTGCTCAGATTACCAGTACGTCGTGGTCTTTAGCTTGATTCACCGGGCGCGATTATACTGACTACGGCATAGATTTGCAACAGACCCCCGCGAGTAACCCGAAAGTGATGCTGAAGATCTTTGTCCTCCCTCCGAACGCCCCCGCCAGCTCCCCCGAACAATATGTCTTTTCCTTCACAGCTGGAGCGAACGCGCGACCGGAAGCTGATGCCATCAGAGATGCGCTCAGTGCCGCTATCCAAGCTGCGAAGACAGCTCAGAGTGCCCCTGTTAAAGAAGGCGTCTCTCCTGCTATGGCCATAGCGAATGCAGTCTCATCGGCAGGGAAAGAGAAGAACCCGTGGGATGATGACAAGCGGCTTCAAGGAGATGTGGAGTTGCAGCAGTCGCTGCTGAAGTCGAACCCGACTCTCCAGCGCATGTTCATGGAGTCGTTACACACCAAGCCGGATACGCTGTCTGCTTCACAATTCATGACGCAGTTCTGGTCTACTCGACTTCATCTTTTGCGTGCGCATGCGATCGAACGGTCGCAGACACGCGGATCGTACAATGTGCTGTCGACCTTGAAGCCGCGGGTGGAGGATAGCGTGACAAAGCTGAATATTAGCAAGGAGCAGATTCAGTTGATTTTCAATCAGCACCCGCTTGTGAAGCGGGTATACGACGAGAATGTACCCAAGCTTAGCGAGCAGCAATTCTGGTCTCGGTTTTTCCAAAGTCGGCTGTTCAAGAAACTGCGTGGTGAGCGCATCTCTGAAACGGATCCCACGGATATAATCCTGGATAAATACATCAAGGCGGATGAGTCGGGGAATTTACCGCGCGATGCGCATGTTCCGCATTTCCTGGATTTGGCGGGAAATGAAGTGAACAACAGTCAACGGCAAGGCAACCGGCCCGATCTCGACATGCGCCCGTCCTCTGTGGAAAAGGTGCCCATTATCCGCACACTGAACAGTCTGAGTGAGAAGATTATGGCGAACGTTGCACCAGCCGATGGCGAGGCGGATGGCAAGACGGCTGAAGATGGGACATACAACGAGCTGCAGCTGCGCGATCTACGCGGGGACGAGGAACAGCAACGTATCCTCCTTAATGTCAAGGACCAGAGTCGCTTTTTCTCGTCGCATTCGAAATCTGCGGAGGATGAGCAAAACAAGCTATTTGCCCAGCAAGATCCGAATGAGATACTAGGGAAGCTACGTGGGGATCTAGAACAAAATTTGCCAGAGGGCGGAGCCGCGCCGCTAGGGAGATTGGTAGAACCGCAGGAAGATGAAGATGAAGATCAACAAAAGTTCGAAGATGTGATTGGTTCCAGAGTGAATTTGAAGCGCGCCTCAAACCAAATTCTCGAAGCGATCCGTGACCGCCGATCTCAAACAGAGGGATCAGGCAATGCCGGCACATACGGTTTGTCAACTGCGTTGTACGACCGGTTGACACTAACGCATGCCACGACGACTGAATTCTTGCATCAATTCTGGCAGGCATTTTTATCCGGGAATCCGGATCGCGCGGGTGAGGTTGCTTCGCTCGTGGAGTCCCTAAACAGAGCCATGGAGCGCATAAAATCGGTGGCGCAAGACGCAGAGGCAGAGCGGCAAGTTGAGGTTGATCGACTGAAGCAGCATGCCCGGGAAGTGCTGGAAAGGACAGGAAGGAAGCTCAAGCTCAATCTCGCTGGTGTGGCTGGGGGTGAACAGGCTGTCAATCGACTATTGGGGCCGACCATCCGGGCGTTGGAAACGGCGTTGGCGAAGTACAACCAGGCGTTGGCTGAAGAAATGAAGGAAATGCCATCTGCGTGATATGGCGATAATGTATGATAGAATAGACATAAATGACTATTAACGATTCATTGTAAAGCCAATTGCGACGCAATAAGTACTTCGATCGGCATGCCGAGCCCTCCGCTCTCCGCCCCTCCGCCTCGGCCCGCCCTTCACGCGACGTGTCCCTCACTTCCTCCACCTTCCTTCCAGCTTGTCAGACCAGCATCGCGACCACCGTGACGCTCCACTAATAAGACATCGCCTTCATGCTCTAGTTACTGCTTAATATTCAGGAGAAATTACCTCCAGTTCTATATTCTAAATAAATCTAATAAATTCACAATAACATCTCGAAGATGTTAACCTCCGGACTCACCAACGCCTCGATCTCCAAATCTCTCCTCATCTACACCGTCGCCTCCTCAGTGGCTCTCGCTATCTTCGACCTTAAGCACCTCACTAGTATCCAAGTCGCGCCACACATCTGGCAATATGGACAATTTTGGCGCATTCTGGTGTGGCAGGTAGCCGGATTCGCGAACTCGACGGAGGCGCTGTTCGCCGCGATGCTAGTGTATCATCTACGAGTTGTCGAGCGCGCTTGGGGAAAAAGAAAGTTTGCGGTACGTCACTCTACTCTACCTTGCTTTTCCTCATAGCAATCTCCGTCTGCAAGCTATACTAGCGATGCAGCTACTAACAAGCAATAATGGCTTATAGACCTTCCTCCTCACCACACTCCCCTACACAACCCTCCTCCCACCTCTCCTCCTCATCCTCGTCCTCCGACCCATCACCCTCGGGAAATTGAACTACCTACCCTCCGGACCCGTAGCGACCATCTTCGCCTTATTAGCGCAATACCACGCCTCAATCCCATCTACCTTCCGCTACCGGATCTCCACGTCATCTGCATCTGATTCGAACGAGACGAAAGACCAACCGCAACAGAGCAGCAAGTCCCTTACTCTTACACTGTCTGATAAATCTACAACGTATATTGTCGCTGCGCAACTGGCTTTGTCGCAGTTCCCGGCGATGGTCGTCCCCGCTGCGGTGGGATGGCTGGTTGGTGTGGCCTGGCGGATGGAGTTCCTGCCTGGGACTGGCGCGTGGAGAGTCCCGGCGTGGATGGTGGGGGAGAAAGAGCGGAGAGTTGTAAATGGAGCTGGAGGGGCAGATGGTGGAAGATATGAGGACTTGAGGAGGAGGTTGGAGGGAGAGGCTATTGCGGCGTCGGCGAGTTCGTCGGCTACGGGTGCGACGGGGGATGCTGCGGGACAGAGGTTGAGGAGGAGTGGGGGGATATAGATTAGAGGGTTTTTCCATGTAGTTATTACGATATAGGAGTGTTCGATACCTTCAATTGTTCAAAGCTTATGGGTATAGTAAATGTATAGGAGCTTTCAGTGTGTTTGAGCGAAGTTAATATCAACCTAGAGTGCATCATATGAAATGTCCTCTTAATATTGTGATATGCAGGTATCCTTTTCTACCTCGCTTCATTGGCTATGACACCAGTCTTTATGTATTCCAGCCGGTGTTTCCAGACTCATCAAAAAGCCAAGCTGTTCCCCGGCATAAAACGCGGCGCTTTGACCGCCGAGGCCTGTGATATACTATAATTGGCATCTAGACCGCACGTGAGTCCACTGTTATCGCGTGTTGTGGCGGTAGGGACTGGCAGAATCCGGCCAGCTGAACTCTCTCCATCATCAGTCGCTGATTATCGTCTCCTATTGATTGCCCTTCGGTGCCAGCTCTCCGATATACTGACATCCATGCGGATCTACCTGCCTTCCTTCATCGCATTCATATTATCATATATGAATAGGACATGATCGTCAAATCCACTTTCAATGGTTCCAACTACCAGCTATGCTAGCCCATTCCTTCGGTATGGGTTGTCCCGCCGGTTTAGCCTGCGCCGGCGCTTCCTCCAGGGTCTTTTACTTTGTATGATAACCTGGACGATACTGGAAACCCTTTATATCCATCACCAAGCTTCTACTGTGGATGTGGCCAAGGACCACCTGTCACCCCGACCCGAGCGGCTATTCATCGCGAGCATGCACTGGAACAACGAACCAATCCTGCGAAGCCATTGGAATGATGCGGTAATAGAACTGGCAAAATCATTTGGACCAGATAATGTTTTTGTGAGCGTCTACGAGAGCGGGAGTTGGGATGATTCTAAGGGGGCTCTCCGCGAGCTTGACGCTGGGCTGGACCGACTTGGCGTGCGGCGCAACATCACCCTATCGGACACGACACATCAGGATGAGCTATCCTCTCGTCCCCGAGAAGGCTGGATCGATACACCTCGCCAAAAGAAGGAACTCAGACGCATTCCTTATCTTGCGCGGCTACGCAATCTGACCTTGCAACCACTAGAAGACTTGTCGCAGCAAGGCATTACATTTGACAAAGTGCTGTTCCTGAATGATGTGGTCTTCACTGTATGTCTGGTATATAGATCTAAATTTGCACGTCGCTAACTTTCAGATCACAGGTGGATGATGTTATCCGGTTACTTGATACAAATGATGGTGTCTACGCTGCCGCTTGCTCGCTGGACTTTTCTAAACCGCCGCTCTATTATGACACATTTGCCTTGCGCGATTCGAACGGCGACGAGCATGTAATGCAGAAGTGGCCATACTTCAGGTCTGCAGCATCACGCAATGCGCTACTTGCCCTGTCTCCTGTGCCTGTCAAGAGTTGCTGGAACGGAATGGGTTGGTGACTCCCCTACACGCTCTTCTCGATGCCCATATTGATCGATCATATATCGCAGTTGCTATGCCTATAGAGCCTTTTGTTTCCACTCCTCCGCTACGGTTTCGCGCTATCTCCGATTCCCTGGCGCTTTCACATCTCGAGGGCTCTGAATGCTGTTTGATTCATGCGGATAACCCCCTCTCCAAGCAAGACGGGGTTTACTTGAACCCTAAGGTTCGTGTCGGCTATAACCCTGCCGCCTATGAAGCTGTTCACCCTACAGGGGCCTGGTTATCGCTGCAACATGTGGCATTAGCTCTTTGGGAGAACCGACTCCGACGCTGGTTTACAACACCATTTTTCAAAAAGCTGGTTGTCCGCAAGAGGATTGCTGGATGGCATGATGACCATATCGATGAGCAAGAACCTGGTGACTTCTGTTTGATCAATGAGATGCAGGTGCTTGTCTCTAATGGTTGGGCACACGTTTGAGGCCAAGTTCGTGGGTGTTCCTACAATTGGGCGCTTCAACTTCCGAAGTCAGTAGAGATTGATTCTAAAACCAACTTCAACACACGACCGCCTATGTGTCCTGTTCTACACCTCATGAGGTTGGAAGGTCGATGCCAAGAAGTAGGCGCGAACTACTGATAGGAAGGCTGGGATTGCCGGGGGAAGTCGGAAAAGGGTCAAAACAGCCTACGACGGTACACAGTACACTATGTATTACGCCCCACAGCTTTCTCTCTCCCTCGCTTCTGTACTGCCACCAGTCAGTATCTAATAGCTGGCGAGCTCTAACGCACTACCTCGTTAAGCGCCTTTTGATCCTTGGTTCGCAATGACCCCGCAGACCGTCTCGTGGTCGAGACCAATGATATGCTTTTGGTGGGCCGCGGCGCTAGAGGCACTGGCTCCTGTCTAGTATCTTTAGCCTTGTCTGATCGTTGCGGCCCCCTCCCTTTGACCGAGTGCAGGGAGAAACGCTCTGGTGACACCTAAACTGCCTCTATTTGCTTGCGCGTAGCTTTATCGTCTACCGGCCTAATTTGACGTGGGCACTATTTGTTGGCCGGTCTTGTCCGCTAAGGGATCAGGGGCTGGGTAGACTGCTTCAGCTCGCCGTCCCATCCTCTAAGCGCTAGTATTATCCGAGCGGTACAGCGAGCAGAGGCCAATCAGCAACTAGGTCCCCTGCTAGGCTATGTGCTATCAGTTTAGTAGATCAGATTACTCCAGTCCTTGGAGCTCAGATATGGGCTTGACGCTGTTCCGCGGGCTTGGGCGCAGTTTATTTTATAAGACGTCTACGGCTTAAGCCTTGCGTCCCATCTTCTTAGTTCAGATACTATACATGGCCTAATCTGTGGCTGAGGCCAACCACCTCCTGGAAATTATATTCAAGACAATTATACACCACGGATTTCCAGAAATGACCTCCGAAAATGGCACTCGGCCTTCTTTTCAAAATGGACTTCGCCTCGTTCATAACACTTATTCCTCATCCAATCTGTCCTGGCAGTCCCAATTGGATGGAGAAGCTGTGAGCTTAGAAAACATGTATGCCGAGCCGTATCGGCCGACCACAGTGTAAGTCTAGACTGGGATTTGACGGAGTCTGGCTCTTGCTAAATCCTACAACGCGTCAAGCAGTGACTCCAATTTGCATGGTCGCATCTCGCGCTCCAACAGCGACGCCTCCGATAGCGTTGGATCTATACAAGCAAATCAGCGCGCGCGGTATGGTCGGCGCCCGATTTCGGACAAGGCTCGGTGCATGTTACACTCGCTTCGAACTACACTGGTGGCCCAGATGGCCCAAGCAAGAGATCGATTGCGTTGGCAACGACTCCAATCGGAATCCAACAGTCGCGGGCTCGGCGACCATTTTCTGGCATTGCTGAAGAATATCGGCATCACATCTTTCTACAATACCTGCTGCAAGCTGCGCGACATTGAGGTAACAGAAAAGCCGAAGGTCTTCATGGACAGGAGTAAGACACTTGCATCCATCCGCTGTGTTCTGCATGTAGTTCCTGTCAGTGCTGCATTTGCACTCATCATGCTTAACTCCACTGGTTACTATATTGGGGGCGAACTATCTGGCGCTTCTGGACAGGATGCTGAGAAGCTGGCTGCGCTGACATTCGCAGCTAAGCTGCATGAACTTCTCATGCTAGCTTCGCTTGGCTCCATACTAATTACTTATATCCGCAGAGAACTTGCCTTTGGGGAAGGCCTTCCGTTTGGCGCCATTTTCACCTCTTTGCAGTTTCAAGATATCAGTTTCCTTTGGTCTCTCAGCATGTGGGGTTCGGTCAATCATGACTGGCAACGAAGAACCACCAAGTGGTTCATCCTCTGCCTGATGGTTATATGCACCCTGCTGGGACTAACAGTTGGACCGTCCACAAGTAATTTGATGAAGCCACGTCTGGATGACTGGCCCGCAGGTGGCACGCCATTCTGGATCAACGCCACCGACAGCGTACTCTTTCCTAATAAAATGGAAAACTCGTCAGCACTATCGCACTGTGCTGTTGATAACAGTGACCTCGCCTGCCCGGCTGGTAATTGGCAGATCCTCAACCAGGACTATTACTCGTTCTTTCCAAAGCTCGTCAACGCGGGCAGTGTTCCCCAGAATCTTACCATCTCCGGCCAAGCCTCCATCCGCAGCTTTGGAATGAGGTCTCGCAATCTGTTCGGTACTCATGAGATGATGTGGGGGAATGCATACACTATTGCAACTACCCCACTCTCTGTCGTCGCGGATAGCGTTGCAGAATTAGGCAGGCTATGGTCGTACGCTGCCGCCAACATCGATGTCGGACGATTCAAGTTCAGGAACGATGCGCTCTTCATGACCAACGCCTTGCAGCCAATGGTACTCACATTTTGTGGTCAAACGTTCTACGACTACTCCGGTAATATCAGTCTGGCCTTTCCTGCATTGGGTACTGCGTCTCTCTCCTCAGGCCCGGGCACGGCCGACTTGAGTCAGGCCTCGATCGACTTATACAATGGATTTTCCAACAAGACAATCGAAAATAAGGTGGAATCACTCCTCCAGCAAGGTACTTCCCCTTCTGTGCTCTGGATCGATGATCCTCTTCTACTGCAACCTATTGATGCCACACTTGCTGCTATATTCATACTTCCCACCACGGACAGCACCAATCCACAATACTTTACTTGCAGCGTCGACAGCAGATTCACCAACGTCACTCTAGTGTCCACGCGAAACCACATCAAAATTGTCACTGGTCAGCCTGCAGAAATGGACAAAAATGGGACGTTTCATTCTGGTTGGCCACGAGTTGCACTTACCGCGGATTGGGCAAGGTACCTGACACCAGACATTCCCGGTACAAACAAAACGATCTTATCGCCTATCACCTCGATGGCTGGCATCTTCAACAGTTCAACTCCGTCAGCCTCCTACTACTACGATATCATCGTGGAGAATATCCTAGCTACCCTCATCACCAACGGCATCGGCCGGTCAGCGTACAACCATAGTATTATCATGGACTTGAAAGGTGCTAACAATCCAAATAATCTTTGGGATGGCGGTGACTGGATCTACGACATCATTCCTCAGGGTGGGAACATGGGCACGGGGCGCAACGCATTCAACGTGTCTGCCGCCGTGCGCAACCGATCCACTCAACTAGTAATGGAAGCCTATGTGAACGGCTACGCATACAGCGCAGACGGAATCACGTCCATACTCGAAATGATCGTACTCGCCATCTATATCACCGTGGCCATCGCCCACGTCTGTTATTCGATTTACAGTGGGCTCTCCTCGAGCAGTTGGGGCTCTGCGCCAGAGATCGCAGCGCTTGCATGGAACTCTGCTCCGACAGAAAAGATGGCTCATACGGGAGCGGGTATCTCAACGATTGATGTATACAAGCACAATATACGAGTGATGCAACGTGATAACAAATTGGAAATTGTGACTCGAGATCATGATGGGAGATTCGAGAAGGGAGGGCCGCTACCTCAGGAAGAAGCAGGTTCGGAGGGTGTAGGTACAAACTTGGATCATGATCAGAACCATGGGGAAATGGGACCTATAGAAGAGAACCGGGCTTATTCTTAGTATTGGCCTTTGTTGATTGTCAAATACCATTAGATGTACATGTATATATATACCCACATCTTGAACTGAAAATAATACATAGACGAAGTGAGCTTCACCAATTGACTGCTTGTAGAATCTTCTTCAATCACAAACCCTATTCAGAGGCACAGAATATCAAGACAAAGGGCTAAAGGACCCCATCCCTATAAAGATGGTAGGTAGATAAATAAAAAAGAAATTTTCAACCCACCGCAAATGTACAAAAAAACCGAAAGTGGAAGAGGAAAAAAAAAAGGTAGAAAAAGATCTGTCCCGAGGGAGGTTCGAACTCCCGGCCTTGGGATCGCATGGAAGTTGAAGCTTCCACGTCATACTGTAGTATGAGACCCACGTGATAACCAACTACACCATCGAGACGACTTGTTGAGGAATGCCTCTAGGGTATGGTAAATGAAGAGGTGCGTCGTTTTCTGTGTGGTAAGTGGGTGCGGATAGGAGAAAAATACCACACACGCACCACTTGAACAATATTTGACTACATGGGAATCAATGTAAGACTATCTTGCTTCACAATTCTTATTTCAAAGACGAATGTAAAATTTGGTATATGGTAATTCTATCACCAACGTACTTAGCAATGGAACTACTAAGTACTGAGTGCACACTACTACTCCTACTAATTAAGTACTAGTAGTACCACTATCGCACTGAAACATATAAGTTGTAGTAGTGGTCATATGGGGTTGCTGCATGAAACTCCACGGAGACGATCCTACTACGTCGGCCCATTGATCCTAGACGTCTTGACCCGTCAATTTTACTATCATCTCCATGGATTCAATAAATCTCCTCGCCCAAGCGAACACTCATGTCATTCATCTTTGTCGGATATATACTAAGGTAGACAACTGGTAGAAAACAACTACTGTATATAGCCAACCTCGATAAGCAGGTCCCCATTGTCATTAAAGACGGGATCCTTGTAGGAGAAGGTGCCCTGACCAGGAACCACGAACCGGGCTGTGCTGTTGAGGTTTGTTTGGAGGGCCTCCTCCACGCTCTGCAGGGCCGAGTTCTTCAGAGCCTCTTTCAGATTATCCTGGAGTGCACCTTGTCGTCTTTCTACATCGGACTTTGTAACGCCTATCTGGGACCCAAAGAATGAGATTGGGTCATTGTCCACCTTGAAGACGTTGTCGCTCAGATCAAGCTCCATTCGTAGGCCACCACTGTCTTCTCCTTTCATAGTGATTGTTGTGCTCCATTCAAGCCATACATGGACACTACTGCAATCAGCTTATGGGATTAACTTGACTCCCCATGTATGACTTACCCATACTCAGTGGCCCAGGGTAAAGTCACCGACTCATGGCCGCAGCTAACACTAACCTTGATATCCGATTTCCCACCGATCTGGATTATATTGGATCCGGATTTGGTGGACATAGTGTTACTAGTGGTGCCTGCAGGGTCGTCAGTCAAATCAGGAGGACAGATAGGGGAGAACAGAGGGAACCAAGGGAAGATACTTACAGTCAACGGTGATTCTGCCATAGCTGTTGCCATTCCACCCTTCTTTCTTGGAGTGCTGCTCGGACTCCTTCTGTGGAAGTCCCCAAGACCACGACATGGTGCCAGTAGGATTCCAAGAGAAGAAATCTGGAGAAGCTGAATGAATTGAATCTCCAATACCAATTTCCCAATTAGGGTTCGTGGTTGAGTCAACATCAGCAGTCTTAACCCAGACGTATGTGGCATGGTTGAGGGTGTTGAGAAGTTCACTCGTCGTCCGCAGGAGATAGCTGTCCCAGATGATGCTTCTGTCAATAGCCATCGTGCCATCCATTCCGGCTGCTGCAAAATTTCCGGAATATGCAAGGAAAGGATCAGAAGGAAAGGCCTGATTGTCGGTCATTTGCAGATACAGCAGCATGTTGTTGTCACCAGCGCCGATGCCCTCGTCTGGCTCTGTTTTGCCTGGGGCTATGTACCCGTAGGTCTGAAACTTCAATGAAGTCGGAGGGAATGTGGCCGCGTCCTCATTGACGGATGATGGATCACTCGTGTGCAACCCGTAGCCGATAGTGCGGTTTTGTCGGTCGGTCATGGGTCCTTCATCGATATACCATTTGGCCAGAATTGCTGCGATGTAAAGAATGTCATCACTTTCAAGGTCTGCTCCTTGAAAATTGCAGTGGTCAAGACTAGACAATGTTAGTAGTCGACACAGGAGTATTGATGTTGAACTTCGCTTGCATACTTGGGCTTGATAATGTCCCCCACTGAATGATGAAAGTCAGTATTTGATTTGGTGACAGCACGAAAGTAGGTGTGCTCACAGTTGAATACCAGAAAGAGGGACTTGATGGAGTAGTCTCCTGCCTGATCGATCGCAGCCTTGACTCTCTTGTTCTCCTCGGAGCCCTCCTCGATGTCGGTAGTGTCCCAATCCACGTCGAACGCAATTTCCCAGTTTGCCACGTCGAAACTCTTCTCCCTGAAGACAGCGTCAGTAACGCCATGTATATTAGGGGGATGTTAACTAACCCTTCCCCGTAGTCGAAGTGCAATGTTCCCGAGACAAATCGAGTAGTATATTCCAGCTCAGTATGTGTTTCGCCTATGACTTTCAGTGAGACCAAAGGCTCCGCAATGGTGCCTTTGATGGAGTCGCCTCTGTTGGTGGAGCAGTCAATGTGGGCCATTTCAGGCTGAGCTGTCACCAGGGCGGCCATGGCATTGTTGATGGCACCCTGGGTAAGGGCTGTGACCTGATCGTTCAAGAAAAAGTTAGAAAGTACGACAAGGGAAACATTGGTTCTGAAGACACACCATTGAAAAACCCCCTAGGGTGGCTTGCAGACGCTTGCTAGCCTCGGTCATCTTTTATGATTAGATGTACGTAGATAGGGTTGACTTTCTGCTCTGAGTTGGAATTGATACAATGCCAATGCTCTACCTGATCCAACTATTTATCATACTTTCCTTCCTTTCGATCTCTTTCTATTTCTTCCCATTTCCCCTCACCTCAGTTCTTTGCGCTGGGACACGTCATGCTGCCGGGAGAAAACTGTCTCCATACAGGGCGCGCAAATGCATGCCTCGTATACATCAGTTGCAGGGGCTGGATCCTCTGGATTTTGCCATGAGTGCCTTTGATGATAGTGAGTTGTACACTAGAATAAGTGTATACGTCTGACTTTCAGGCTTGAGATTCAATAGGCTCTTGGCTGGTTCAGCGGAAGCGGGGAAGCAGACCAGATGGCCGCTACTGTATGTGCGCTGCATCTCAGCCCCGACTGACAGGGGTGAAGTACAATCTCACACTGCCAACGCATTCAAATGACTGCAACGGTGCCTACTCATGTAAGTAATCATATTGGGAAGTAGAGATGCAAGTCATCTGTAGTGGTGGGGCTGTAAATGCATGTATTTGCCACTGCCTGGTTTTATTTAAGGGCTGAATAAAACGAGATGAGTTATATTTCCTCCAACATGGTTGCTATATATGTTCACAGTCCGGTGACAAGCAAAGATGAGCATCCCTTCTGACCCCCAAACTCCAGCCGAGTGGCTGCAGTACTCCCAGAGTGAGATTGTCTCTTCGATTCCACTGAGAGAGGAGCATAGAACCGAACAGGTAAGTGCAGTCCAAATTCATTTTCTGACTTCCTGGACCAGATTTCTCACACCTGAATATGAGATAGAAAACTAACATCGAGCGAGCTGTATATCTGGACGAATCGAAGATCGAGAGTCCAGCGGACCAGCTGCTGTACCTCTACACCGACGTCTTTGCGTTCACCAAATCAGAGGTCACCATCGCCCCTCAAGCTTATGCAGAGATCCAATTAATCGCAAGGGTCCTCACAGCGGACACGCCCGTCAATTTGAAATTCATTCCTGATACGGGCTACCACACATACATCTACGCATCGGTCATCGACCAGCCGATCTCGGTGTCTCTGGGAAATGACAGTTCAGAACCACTTCTTCTCAAGCTCGGTTCCGCCACAGGAATTGTCGGGGTGAAGCTAACCGTGTTTCCAGATCACATAGTTCCTACATACCAGACGGCCTATGTCCGCGTAGTGGATGTGGATCTCCAGGCGAGCCTTGACACTCAGCTGCGCGTTGCTCTGGCGCTGTTCTGGAGAAACACATCCTTGGCTATTTCCATCTGCTCATACGTTGCTTCCCTCACATCTAATCCTGCTTTGAGCGCCTATTCCAGGATCAATGCCCAAGCAGGAGCGCTGGGCCAGCAGCTGGCCGCCCAGGCCATGACAGGGCCTGATATGGGCTATGCACCTGTGCTGCAGGTCGACCAGTACATGTCTACCGTGCATGATGCGCTTGACGCGGTCTCGGCGTTTGAGGACCAATACCAGCGGTTTCAAGATAACGAACAAAATGTAGAAAACCTGAAGCTAGCATGGAGCAGCTTGCTTGATCATGCGCAGAGCCAATTAACCCAAGACACTATTCTCCGAACAGCCGCCTGGACTAAGTACCAGGATGCTTGCACGGTGGTGGCCCGCTCCCAGGAGCAGATGAACGCCGATAACAAGGAGGTTGATAATGCCAAGTCTGCATTTTTGGAAGGGCTCGAAGCGTGGATTGCAAGGACCATTCTCTTTGCGGCGTATGAAACCCTGAGTGCCATCGTCAGTACGTATTTCTCAGTCATTTTCTTCTCCTGTCAACTGAAGTGTACAAACTAAAAGAACGCCAGAATTTACCAATGCAATTGGTGTACTTAGTCTAGGATTCAAATCCAGCCTTGGAGATGCCGCAAAGGATATCAAAGACGCAATCAACGATGTGAGGAAAGCAGAGAAAGGCTTAGACCAGACGGGCAAGACAATATCCTCCGCGACACTCGAAAACCTAGGAGAATGCATGCAAGCTCTAGAGAGCCTTTATCCCAGCACAGCAGACTTGGTTGCGGCCATTAAGAAACTCGAGTCGGACCCTCACGCAGATATACCGTCCTCTGCTACTGTCACGGGCAGCAGCGACGGGGATGCTGACGCACGAACAATCATAACGCTGGCGGCATGGGACAAATGGGGTCTTGAAGCTGACAAGCAGTTGGCGTATGCAGTTGGCCAGTCTATTACTGGAGCGAGCGCATACCAACTCGCTCTGCGTAAGCAGGCTGTTGATGGAAAGGCATTAGCCCAAGCCCAGGCGGAGGCTGTCAAGGCGGGCCACGAGTACACTCAAGCGGCGATCGAGGTCATAGCCTGCAATCAAGACATTGATACTCTAAAGAACCTGCTAGATACATATACCGAGGAAAAGGAGCAGTATGCCCAAGCTAAAGCCAAATTCTTTGACCGCTTCCTGCAAATCCGCACGAGCCTTATCCTGCAGATGCAGAAGCTGGTCTGGGCCTACAAATACCGCGCTTTGGCGGACAGTTCGGTTACACTTGATTCGCAGGAACCCACTGGGGAGTTCGAAAACTATCTGCTCACTCTTGACTCGGAGATTCAAGCCGCGGATGAGAGATACGCCACAGATTTCCAACGTATGTTTCCTACTATGATATTCATTCTAGTTCTCCACTGACTACTACTCAGCGTTCGAATATAAGCAACCATGTAGTAAGGTAGGATGCCCCCGGAGCGCGCGCGACTCCTTCATTATTGAATCGCAATGATTGACCCATGAGCAGCTGCCCGCCAACTACGGCGATCTAATGATCCAGGGCCTACAGGGAGAAAGCCACAGCGCCAGTTTCACACTTGCGCCGACAACTGATTCCAGCGACAATAACAGCTTCGCCAGCTTATTCAATGATGGATCGCACTTTCGTCTGGAAGGTCTCGAGACCTTCTTGCAGGGTGTTGTTCCCCGGGCCGAAGCCATCAGTGATGGAGTCGCACATGTGAACATCGATATTTTAACTTCGGGAGTATATGCAGACATTCAAGATGGCAAGATCTTCCATTTCACCAGTCTACCAAGACAGGTGCGACTTACCTATGAGATTGACGAATTGGGTGCCATAGGTGATACACTGGTGCACGCGACCTACCCAACTAAAGAACACGCCGAGCCGACTCCGTTCACTCAATGGACGATTCGATTGCTGAATCCTGATGACTTGGATTTGACCAAGCTGACCGGGGTGCAACTTCATTGGAAGGGAAGTGTGAGATTTGTTGGGAATTTGTCTGCTCCTAGTACCTGATGTGAGATGCTGTTGGCTAGATGATCTTATATCGTGGCACTTTGCGAGGATGACAGGAAGTATATGGGCGAGAATATGAATGGAACCATTAAGAGTGATTCCCGAATTCTCATGATACCGTTAAACATGTCTGTGATATCGAACGATTGGAGAGCGCCGACAACAACTTCAATCCTCTCGTAACGCACATAATAGTAGTCAGTAATAAGACATGGAAGTTGCAATTGCTACTCCCCAAACACCCTCAACTTCCTAATACTCTTCAAGCACCTGGAATTAATCTCCATCGGCGAATTGCATACACTAAAACCCAAAGCTACGCTTTCTAGCATCTGCGAAGTAAATATCTATCCAACCACAGACACCGGATTCTGCCACATCAATCGAGGCGGTCAAAAAGTATACAGAATGCTGACTGACTTTTTCGGAGCTGTATAATAATATATCCGCTTATATCCGTCTATATCCGCACTTTTCTCTGCGAGGTTCGCTAGGTTCTGCCGCTTTTGGCGGTCAATGGAACGGTCAAGATAGGGCAGTATTGGGTCTACACCCAGGGCATAAAGATATTACTGGTCTCCTGTATAATTGGTCATTACTGTATTTGAATTCGTGTTGTGTATACTCTATCCACTCAGGATGATGTTTCTGCTCCGGGCAAGTCCATGAGCGGAGTTGTACTAATGGGCTAGTGTACTGGTAGTAGTTACAAAGTCAAGTACTTATCTACTACGTAGTATAAACGACTAGGTGGAAGCTAATGTGAGACTATCTCCTATTTTCAGTTGTTATTCCCGTCACCTTACTCGGTACTACTAGTATGATTGCATTCGGCTCTGGAGTTGTTGTTTCAATTACTCTTAATCGCATTGCTGGGATAGGTTATCGCTGTGTAGATCGGCTCCAGGAAGTATAGAAATTGGCTTTTAAGAAGGGTATCATTTAGCCCTGAAGAAGGTGAGGGATGTCATGAACATCTGATAGGGACATCGTCGGCTAATTTCAGATCAGTACACATCAATGAATCAGACCAGATCTTTCGTGCTGTCATCAGAATATGCTCAAGTCTTTTTTTTGTCTTCGTACCTGCGTTTGGCTCTTGTTATATTGCTTTGATCTATATGTAGTATCCACTAAGAATATGAGAGATAATCTGGGCTATCACATTTCTCGTTAAAGTTTGTTGCAGAGCTCTTCAATAAAAAATCGACATATAGAATATCCGCATGATAAGATACTCCACCGGATACTCCTCAAAGATATCCGGGAATAATCCAAGCCACTCCGGTTTCGCCTGGCAGTAGACCGTCGAATTACAATAGTCCCAGTATTCAGGGTACCAGCCAGCCAAGTCCCAATCAATAATCGTTATCTGATAATCGTGACTTCCATCCTCCCACACTCCTTTCTGTTCCTCAACCATGACGTTCTCCGGCTGGAGATCCGCATGGGTGAAGACAACCCTGTGTCCTTGGAGTGTACATTTAATCGCTTGATGAAGCAAGCGGACATAATGCGGCGACTCCCTCCGTCCCAGGCATTTCAAGATACCTTGGTTGAACTGTTCCTCGTCGCCAAAGGGACCAGATATGCTCGGGTCCCGATCAAGGGTAGTAAGTAGTAGAGAGAATGCCCTCGTAGTAAGGTGTGCGATTCAAGTTCCCAAGGTACCCCTGAGAAGGAATACGTCGCAGTTCATTCAGTACTTCCTTGATACGCTTGCTCACTTTTCTCTTCTGATCTTCAGGAAGTGATGGCGCTAACTTCTGCAAATCGGAACCGGGGATATATTCCATGATGATCTACCGTTTTTGGGTCTTTGGGTCTATAATGTCATCGTAGACTTTTGGGACGCGGACTTTGCTGTTAGTAGCAACGAATCTCATGTTTTCTGCCTTTAGAGGTGCGATAGAGAAGCCGATTTTGACTGCGAAGTGCTCTTTTACTCGGACGACTTTGACGGATCTGCAGGGGTCGCTGAGGATATTGGTTGATGCTTCGATCTCGGCAATGCTGGGGAGCTCGAGTTTCTCGTTGGATATTTTGTTTAGATGATGGGGGATGTTATTAATCGAGGGTTTAGAATAAGAGGAAGGACAAAGATAGAGTGGAACTGGCGCCGGCTATTAATGAGCTGGTCTAGGCTGGCGGGGTAGAGGATCATGATTCTGTCTCCAGATTTTAGCTCAGCTAGTATACTGTCCATGATGCAGCTCTTTGACTGGCCGATAAGCCTCCATGTCGTTTATTTATGTAAACAGAAGTGTCTTTACTCGCCATTACCTATGATCATACTTGACAAAAGTCAGACAACCATCTTATTGTCTACTATGTATGTACATTCATGAGAGCCAAAAACCATCCCAACCCGTAACTCCGGTATCCTGTTTTGTTTTGCTTCCTCCTGCTCTGTTTGTTCAACGCCCACTTCGACTCCGTCGCATACTCTCCTTACACTCGTTACAGTACCATTTAACTGATTTCACGTTAGCAATCTGCACCCTCCACATTCATAGAGATAAAGGGATAGACTTACCATTCTTCCCAGGCGGCTTCGTCAACCCAACACACGACAAGTGGAACCACTCGCGAGGGCAGGCGTCATTATCACATGCCACCATCTCACCGAAACTGATCTCATTGCAGTAGCAGTATCTGGGTTCACCGTCTTCGTCTTCATCATCGCCCTCATGGAGAGACTCTTCCTCTTCCGATACGGCCCGCGCTTGCACCACTGGTACACTGCTGTTCTTCTTGTGGGACCGTTTGGCTGGTGCGGGATCCGTGCTTCGGGTAGGTCGTACGCGCTGAGTGGGTTCGGAGAAGGTGGGTAGCACCGGGGTGGACGTCTTTGATGATCGGCCCTTGGGGGGTGGATTCGAGACTGGCGGTGCGGGGATTTCGCCCGGTTCGATGGACGGCGCGGGCTTTCCATCGGTGTCTTCGCGTTTAGTGCTGATAGGAGGTGGGAGCTTAGATGAGTCTGTGGTGGGCTCTTCGGTTTCTCGTTGGGTATCTGGATTCGAGGTAGGGGTAGCTTCGGTTTTGGATGTTGTCTCTTTGACCGTGGTTTTAGGTTCTGCAGCTTTGCCTAGAGTAGTCATTTGGTTAGATTTACGATCAGACTGCGAGAGAACATGGTTGAAACGTACCATTGCTGGTAACACGATTGGACGCGGAAGATGACGGTCTTTGACGACCATTGTTTGCTTGTCCGGAATTCTGCTGCGCGCGAGACGTCTGTGGCCGCACTGCACCAGGTCCAGGACTGACAGCGCTTCGTGGGATAGCCGCAGCAGCGACAACAGGGGACGGAGCCAGAACCGGCGAATCGACTGCAGATGCATTGGTGTTGTTTCTGCCACTTATGTTAGTCCATGTATACCCAAAGCAAGCAAATCTAACATACCTCTTCCGAGCAGCCGCATTCGTATTAGGTGCCCGCCTCTTCTTCGTAGCTTCAGCAGGATCCTTCGAAGCAGCCTGCCTCGAAGTACTAGCGCTGCTAGCAGTGCGCTCCATCGCAGCACCAGCCTCCACAGGCGCGGGCCGCTCGACCTTGCGCCGCTTGGCCTGGCCCGACCCAGTATTTCCCTGCCCATGTCCGGCCTGATCACCCGCACCCGCACCCCCGCGAGATTTACTAGATTGTCCCTTGCGAGCCCCGCCAGCACGTACATCGTCCAGATCCGAATCCGCATGCGTGCGACGCTGCCTGCGCGCAATGACAGCTTCGCGCCTAGCCTCGCTCCGCGAAGCAGCTTCCGCCTCATGCATCGCATGCGCCAATTCCTTAGTCGACGCAGCCTCCCGACGAGGACGCTCATTAGTAGTTGTCTTGGGGGCATTTCTATTCGTGTAAGCCCAGTGCGTGAGACTTCCCAGACGAGCCTCATCGCTGATCTCCCCCGCGATGAACGGGAAAATAGAATCAAGACGTGTGAGCTGTCGGTCCAACTCGTCGTTCGCATTCGAAATAACGTGGTTTTTCTCATCCGCGGTCATCATCAGATCCGTAAGCGTATGGCGCACACGATGGAACAGGATCCGGCGGTCTTTGCTTTCCTGAGATTCGGGGATCTAATCACGATAACTCGTCAGCACATGCTCATATCCACCCAAAATTCATCATAGATAGCTTATCCCCGCAGACCACTATATGACCCACACTAAGGATAAGAGATCTCCCCGAACAGGGCGCACAGCAAAACTACCTACCGGAGTAGAGGGGTACGGCACAGGCTGCGACTCCGAAGCGGACCTCAGCAATTGGAGCAAATTATCCTCTAAGGCCCAAGCCTTCGCATCGACCTCCTTGAGCAACGAATTATGACGACGGAATTCCCTAGGGAGGGCCGTAATGGCGTCCGTGAAATGGGTGAGAGCAGGATAGAAGCCATGGGCCACAGGAGTCGCAGACTGGGTATCTGCCATGGAGCCATGACCATAAGCGAAAGACGAACGGCCCAAAGTCTTGGATGTGCGCGATGGGTTCGTTCTGGTCTGGCGCGTTGACTGACGAGCGCTCTGACCCTGAGAGTTGACGGCAACGGCAGACATGATGGGTAGGTAAAGAAGGAAAAGGCACACAAGTCGGACAGTAAGTCCGACTCAATCAGGGAACAAGAAGCACTCAGAGATACTGGGAGATCGATGGCTCAACAGATGGAAGAACATGGACAGACAGACAAAAGAGGGAAAAATCGGGGGTGGGAAACGAGAGTTGGAGCGATGGGAGACTTGCAGTGCGGAGAAAGACCCGGCAGAGCCCATCATTCATCAGGTGATTGGTGCCTGCAGAGCCAGGCACTGAAATTCGGCTGACAAAGACGTGCTGATAAGGATGGTGTGACGTCACATATTAATTAAACGAATCTCAATCTCAACTCGAGCTATCAACTGGTGTATACCGGGAGATCCACAACCCACAACAAAAATGAATTGAGAAAAAATGGATGGGGCAAGCCGGGCTTGAACCGGCCACCTCCAGATCTTCAGTCTGACGCGCTCCCAGATGCGCCATTGCCCCGTAGTCGTTGATTTTGCCACTCTTTTTGGCTATATGGAGCTGGGTATTACTGGGCTCAAATGAAAAGCAGGCCCCATTCTGTATACAGTGTAGCTTACGGTGCAATTGCCAACCAAAGAAACTGAAATTATATCAACGTTCTTAATTTACACGCGTGCACGAAGCACATGCTAGGTATCGGCAGGCTAGATCACGAAACAATGTGGCAAAGAAACGAGACCCAAAGCCCGGAAACACTTAAGCATGAACTGTAGTATAATCATCGTACACTATGCTGCTGAACAAAGGAAAATCATACAAAGAAGACCAGAACGAGCCAACGCTGACTCCCCAACCCAAACACACTCTTACAACGACATCATTTACTCGCCCTTGAGGCGCTCCTGGTGAACAGTGAAAGCATCGTTGAGGAACTCCTGCTCCTCCTTGAGATGGACAGACTTGAGACCAGTGGCGACGGAAGCGCTGGGAGCGCGACCGGCGTACAGAACGTGACGGCGGTTGTGGTGCTCGGTCTCGTTCAGCAGAGTCTCGATACGGGGCTGGGTGTAGCTCCAGGCACCGGCGTTCAGAGGCTCCTCCTGGGCCCAGACGATGTTGCGGGCGTTGGGGTAGCTGTCCAGGTTCTCCTTCAGCTGAGCCCAAGGGAAGGGGTGCAGCTGCTCAACACGGGTGATGGCGGTGTTGCGGATGCCGTGGGCTTCACGGTGCTTGGTAAGAGCAGCGTAGACCTGGCCAGAGCAGAGGATGACACGCTCGATCTTCTCGGGCTCGTCGATCTCCTTGCCGTGGGCGGGGTCGGGGATGATCCACTGGAAGTGAGAGTCGCCGGTGAAGCCCTCGATGTCAGAGCGAGCAAGAGGGTGACGGAGCAGGGACTTCGAGAAGAAGATCACGAGGGCTGGTACAAAAGTTAGCACTAGACTTGTACGGGAGAATTTGTAGGTTACATACGCTTGCGGAACTGGCGGTGGATCTGGCGACGCAGAACGTGGAACAGGTTGGCGGGGCTGGTCATGCAGACGATCTGCATGTTGCAGTCCTGGTGCTGGCGGTCCAGCTTGTCACCCTCGGGGAAGACACGGGGCTCCTCATTGCAAAGCTGCAACCAACGCTCCATTCTACCGGAGGAGTGCTCAGGACCCTGACCATCGTAACCGTGGGGCAGGGAAACCACCAGACCAGAGCGCTGCAGCCACTTGGACTCTCCAGCAGCGATGAACTGATCAATGATACACTGAGCGTTGTTGGCGAAATCACCGAACTGAGCCTCCCACATGACGAGGGCGTTGGGGGAGGTCAGGGAGTAACCGTATTCGAAACCAAGACTGGAATGGAGTTAGCTTTAATCCACATGAGAAAGGCAGACGCTGAAACTTACGCTCCGAATTCACTGAGGGAGGAGTTGGAGATAACGAAGCTTCCCTGGTTCTCAGAGATGTTCTGGAGAGGAGTGTAGGTGCCCTCAGTCTCCTGGTCGTGCAGGACAGCGTGACGCTGGGAGAAAGTACCACGCTCGACATCCTGACCGGAGACACGGACGTGGTAACCCTCGGACACAAGGGAGCCGAAAGCAAGAGCCTCAGCAGTAGCCCAGTCAATGCCCTGACCCTCATCGACAGCCTTCTTGCGGTTAGCCAAGATACGCTTGAGGTTCTTGTGGAGGGTGAAGCCCTCGGGGCTACCACCACCGCTGATCTTCTCAGCAACGTTCTTCAGCAGAGGACCCTCAACACCAGTGGGGAGGTGAGGCAGAACCTCAGTGGCAAGCTCCTTGGGGGTCTTGAAACCGTTCCAGGCGGAGGTGAGCCACTCCTTGCTAGTGGGCTGGTAGTCCTTGCTGCGGTCGAAGCTGTCGTTCAGCATGCCCCAGACCCACTTCTTGTGCTCATCGATGTCCTCCTTGGTGAAGGTACCCTCCTCGATCAGCTTGTTGACGTACTTGTCAAGCTGGCTCTTCTGCTGAGCAATGCGCTTGTACATCAGAGGCTGGGTGAAAGAGGGCTGGTCGGTCTCGTTGTGACCCTGCTTACGGTAGCAGACGATGTCGATGACAACGTCACGCTTGAACTCGGCACGCCAGTCGGCAGCAACCTGGCAGACGTAGTTGACAGCCTCAACGTCATCGGCGTTCACGTGGAAGACAGGAGCGTCAATGGACTTGGCAATGTCCGAGCAGTAAGGGGTGGAGCGGGCGAAGCGGGGGTCAGTGGTGAAACCGATCTGGTTGTTCACAACGATGTGGATGGTACCACCGGTGGAGTAGGCGGGGAGAGAGTGGAAACCCATGGTCTCGTAGACGATACCCTGGGCGGCAAAAGCGGCATCACCGTGCAACAGCACACCCATGGCGGAGTCGAAGTTCTGCTCATCCTTGTTGTAGTGCTGGATGGAGCGAGTCTTTCCGAGAACGACCGGGTCCTCAGCCTCCAAGTGAGAGGGGTTGGCGACCAGAGAAAGCTGGACACGCTTACCCGAGGGGGTAGGGCGCTCGAAGTTCATACCCAAGTGGTACTTGACATCACCGGATCCCTCGTCGGAGGGCTCGGCGGAACCAGCGAACTCACTGAAGATGGACTCGTTGGGCTTACGGACGACGTTGGAGAGGACGTTCAGACGACCACGGTGAGGCATACCAATGACGATGTCCTTGATACCGTAGTCGACACTGCGGTCGATGAGGGCCTTCATACCGGGCACAAGGGTCTCACAACCCTCCAGACCGAAACGCTTGTCGTTGGGGAACTTGGTCGCAAGGAAGGACTCGAAGCTGTGGGACCAGATCAGGCGGTCGAGGATGCGGCGCTTGTCATCGACGGAGTACTTGTAGGGCTCGGGAACCTCGAAGCGGTCGCGAATCCAGTCGCAGGGCTTACGGTCGGGGATGTGGATGTACTCCACACCGTAGGAGCCGCAGTAGATCTTCTCGCAAGTGGAAATGATCTCGCGCAGGGTCATCTTCTTGCGTCCCTCGGTGGCGAAGCGGGGCAAGATACCGGGTCCAAGGTTGAACTCCTGGTCCAGATCGCGCTCAGTGAATCCGTAGTGGTCCAGCTCGAGCTCCTTGGGCTTGTTGTAACCGAAGGCCTCGGCCTCACCGCGGATACCGAGAGGATCGATCTTGGCCTTGTGGTGACCACGAGCCTGGTAGGCGCGGACCAGAAGCTGAACCTTCAGGTGATTCGTGACATCGGTACCGGCCGCGAAAGACAGGCCTGCGCCGGGCATCTCCTGAGGAACACCACCGGTAGGGGTAGGGACGAGAGTCGGAGGAGGCTGGAAAGCCTGGGAGACGGGCATGTTGCCCTCCTCCATGTTCTTGAAATACGTTTGCCATGAGATGTGCACGCTGGAGGGATCTCTCTTCCATGCGACGTACATCTCATCGATGTAGTTGGCGGTGTTTCCGGAGAGGAAAGAGTCATTGGCATCCTACAGAATCGCCAAAAAAGCGAATGTCAGTCGAGAGTGGCTTTCAGACCGGAGATGAAACCAAGCCAAAAAGCGTGGACGACACTTGTGCAGGGGAATTGCTTACCACACCCTCAGCGGGCGCAGCATAGTGCCTCTTGGACAACCGGTCGACGAGAGCGAGAGGACGTCTGGTGGTCAGGCCAAGTTTTGAGCGGTTGGCAGCAGATCTGGCAGTAGCAGCAAGAGAGATAGATCTCTTGCAAGAAGAGCAGGCCGGACTGCGCAGGCCGCTGGTGGCCTTTACGGCAGTGGAACGAAACATCGCGACAGATTTTCTATGGGGTAATGCGAGCTGAAATTTAATATGCTATAAGCTCGACGACGATTAGGCGAACGAGATAAATGACACGGCGAGTTATCTCGAGAACTATGGCAGGTAAAAATCGCGAGTTAGTTTGACGGGGACCGGTTGCTTAAGCTGCGGGATTTTTCTTGAGGCGGATGAAAGGAACACGCACGGTTTGTAGGGGAGCGAGAAAAACACAGGTGTCGACTAGGATTGCCGTAGCACCTGTAACAAAACGGGACTCATCAGAGAGCAAAAGCACTCTCTATTGATCAAAGTAGTGGGGGAGAGGAGAGGGTGGAATATAGAGGACAACCTCGTTAGTATGAGGAGGAAGAATGGAGAGGAGATGGGAGAGCAAGATGGGCCTTGGGAGGAACGGGAACAAGTTGAGGTTTGCCGAGATCTACGGCTATGACGGCCAGCGAGCGCAGGCTGTGGCTGAGACTAACACAGCGAACATGAACTACGAGTAGTGAGTTACACCGTAGAGCGTCGCCACACATTAGTCATTCCGTGCCCTGCAACCGAGAAAAACGCAGGGCGGGCCGAACTTCCCGGTTGCGGGTACAACACTGCAAGTTTACTTTCAATTACTTCAAATTACTCCCAATTACTGCACCGCCACAGCCCGGTTATGAGCATTTCCCGCTCCGGGACTTTGCGGGTGGGCACGTGGACCAATCATCCTCGGGTTGATTCTCAGGGATGAAGGCTGGATTCAATCCGGAGTAATTATTGAGTTATTTCTGTGAGAAGTCTGGAGTATGAAGGGGCTGTCATTCCCCTGAATGCTCCCGGGGCCTGGGCACCGTTCTGGTTATGCTCCGGCTGTCGTACAAATGGAAGCGGACCACGACTCCCCGCAGCATCTCACAAAATGGCCAACCAGCATCAAATAGATTACTACTTCCCAAGCTGTACTAGTAGTAGTACTATATGCAAACATACATCATCATCACCGTCTAGCCTTCCCATCCCTCCCATCATCCGCCTTGGGGTCATCAGATATCATAAAAGACCACAGATCGCTCTGATCTGCACAATCAAGCATTATATATCAGGCATTACAATCATAATATATGTCAGTTCCCTCGAACTCCTGTGGGTAAGTAAAACAATAAAAAAACCAATATGCGTTATATATATACTCTCATCCTTTTACCGACTGGCCCGATTGGCCTGTTGCCGGGATCTGCAGTCGGGCTGGTCACACGCGTGCGCCCGTCTGACTGACTTC